TTGTTCGTTATGCAGTTTAGAATAATTTAAGGCAAACTATAGAAAAAGGAAAAGAGAATAGGGCGGGAGAAAAATGTAATAAAAAAGGTGAGGTAAAAGGAAAAAAATATAAATATTTGAACAAAAATCGCTGTGCGCTAGCCATGTTTCTTCACATGTTAGTGAGTGGTACCGGCGAGAAAGTAAACGACCACCAGAGCGGAACTTGAAAAAATAGCTCTCATAAATCGATTAGGCATTTAGGAGGTGCTAACTGTTAAACATACAGCTCAGGGCAGAAAGGGCTCAACAATAGCTGCAGTTGGTGTTTGGGAGATAATCAAATCGCGCCACCCCTGCACCGATTGTCGAGGCAATCTTGGCCATCAGCTGTATCGGATTTTCACAAAGATTATCCAGAGGAATTTGGTAATCATGGATTGCTGAGGCTCGTGTAATTCATGGGGTTTTTTTTTTTTTCATTTAGCATTGGTCAATGGCAAACTGCTTGGTGGTCATCCTGCTGGCGATCCTGACGTTTGTTTCGTGCCCTGGAAGGAGTTTCAGCTCTACTTCTCATGTCAGAATCGCAATTAGCAGGGCGTTAGCCATTTCGAATTGTTCTTACTGTGTGTTTGTGTGTCTGTGTGTGTCTGTGTCTTGAGCATCACCAACTTGTCCCAGGCATCGGCAACTCTGAGCTGTGAAAAAAAGATACTTCATTGGGTGGGGGAGCTCGTGATAATACATTTTAATTGCAGAGTTTGGAATATTTTGCTGTGAAAGTGTGTTCGCTGCACGATTTCAGCTGAGTAACTTTGAGCATCGCATTGATTACGCTGACTTCGAGAACAGAGCTTTCTTTTTGCTACTGCATCGCTACATGCGCAATCTTCGAGATCGTTGCTGCTATACCACTGCTCTGAATATAGCAAAGCTGATTTATCGCTTGGATCCAGTGCAGGATCCGATGGCTATTATGCTTACAATCGATACGATTGCCCTGCAAGCAGGCGAATATGATTACCTGATTCTGCTTTACGATACTTTAAAGGTAAACAAAAATTTGTCAACATTTACGTTTTACTTCCGCACATACGTCGAATAGGCAGTTGTAGCTGGAGAGAGATATGCAGAGAGATATGGAGAGATATGCAGCTATAGAGGGAGATATGCAGATATACTAACTGGAGAGATATGCAGCTCAGGATCGAAAGACCTACACTAGCATAGCTGTGCACAGCGTTTATGCATATCTGGGTGAAATTACTGGCATGAAATCTCCATACCGAATTTCGAACGGACTTGGTATTTCCTGGGCAGCGACTAACATAATTTTGTTTAATTGGCACCTGCACTTTCAGGCTGTAGCTAGTTATTTGCCGCTGTAAAAGACTCTCTCCGTCTTCATTTGCTTGATTCGCCTTTCGATATTAGCTTGGTGGACTTAGTATGCCAAACGCAGAATTCGCGTCTAGCTTAATTTCCAGTTTTTTCCTCGGAAACCAGGATCATTCAAAAACGTGTAGTCAGATAGTTGTTGCTCTTGCTCAGGCATCTTTCTGTATTCCAATAATAGGGACTGAAAATACGGAAGAATATTGTGGGACAATGGCAGCTATCATTTTTGCTGACAACCAGTTGCCAGATCTCCGGCTCGTATGGATCGCAGATCCCCCGGCGACCAGATACCAGATCCCCGACTCATGTAGATCCCCCGGCAGATCCACCTGGTGATACAGCAATGGTCACATAGTGGTTGAAAAAGATTGTGAGCTACGTAGGCGAAGGATTGTCCTGTGATATAAATGGCTATTAGTTATTCAGGGCAGTGGTATTAATTATTCAGGGCAGTGGAATCTGTGAATCACGTGCTTGTCTTATGACTTTTTCTTAGCGGCTTCAAGCCCTCATAAACTTGAGGTTGGTGATAATATTCATAATATACAACAGGATTATCATAATCGTTATCATAAATCGTTATCATAAATCATAATATTATCATGAACGAGATTAACCCCTAGTCGAAGTAATGTGTTTGAGAACGGATATTGCACAGGGGAGAGAAATAAAGATTGCTTCGCAACGCTTGTTTTATAATAGTTTACTCATATGTAGTAGAGCAGCTTTTCAGGTTGATAAAAATCTTGATAGGCTTCCAAATTTTGCATATTCTGTCCCGCTTGCGCATTTTCTTCTTCACCAAAAGAATGGAGATGCTGAAAGCAAGGAGCGCGCTGATACATTGGTGAGATTTCTGGTTCCTCTTTTTTTTTTTTTAAATATTGAATATTATTGTTTAATTTTAGTGCTCTTGTAAGTTGCAGTTCATAGAGCTTCATTCCCCCTAGTTATTTATTGTCGGCAGCCTTCAGCTGCTTTGACCAGTGCTGCATCGCAAAGTCTGCTAACGATTCTGACGTTTATTTTCTTCACTGAAATAATTATTGCTCAATCCTTGGTGTATGTTGAACGCGAGAAAGCGAGGCTTTAGTCGTTTTGGGATATCCTTGGTGTGCGTGTGTGTTAAGCATCAGCACTTCATCCTGCTTGTAGACAACAATAAGGCGGTAACGCAGCAACTGAGACACCTTCCGTTATAGCACATGCAGATATATCAGGCAGAAAATATGCAATATAGAAATTCATGAAGTTTTTTAATGATTTTTAGATTAAAAAATGTCACAGACAGATCTCCTGTTGAGGGAGTTATTGGTGCCGCAAATACAGTTTTATCTGGTAGTACACGCCTCGCCTTTCCCTCCCCCTATCCCCATGTGACAACACTGTAAAAATGCCTTTATAACATTTATCCCTAAAATATCAAAAGTCATTTGAGCAACAACAAGAGGGCGCGGATGCGAGGGAATTTTGACTTTGACTTCCGAAACTAAGACAAAACTCTCCCCATATTCGTTTTCTGCAAAAGTCCGAGGCACTCGGGCAGTAGACCAGTTGATAGAGAATGGCACTAGCAATCACAGAAATGAAAAGACTTTCGCTTCTGAAAATTGCCTAGATGAAAGCGAATGTGCCAATACGGCCTGCCATTAGCTTCTTCTTCCTTCAATGACGATGATTTTGGACATCTGAAATGGGAATCAACAGATTTTCAGTTTTAATCGAAAATTGTTTTTTAACTTCTTGAAAAAGTTCTTTCTTTTTATTGCCGCCAC